TACAGATAGATACAGCATAATTTATTGTAACTAGGTAAAAATCTGTTATTTAATTATATTATATATTATCACGCTAATATGTGGTGTCATATCATTAAAATTGTTATCTAACATWATTTTTTTCAAAACTTGTTTCCGCCAAAATGTTTAGTCAAATATTAAATTTGTTAGGTTTTATATATTAAATTATGTATGCTTGGCTAAAATTATACACATTGGGCATTGCCCTATAAATGATTTATCGATCGATATGTATTATCTAATCTATACGATAAATTTTAAGCTTAGCCTATTTAGGGATGGAAAATGAATTCGAAATAAGAGAGAAAGGAGTTTGTATCATAACATGTGCAGTTTAAATGTTTGCATTTCTCGTGAGCTACTAATAAAAACGATACGATATTATATGGCCATAAGAGAGTGGGAACAGCATGAAAACGTACCCACCACTTCGCACTCCTGAGTAACATTTTGTTTACTATTATGTATTACATATCGCGTTATCACGAAATGCGTTAGTTTACCCGACGCCGGTTAGTCAGTCAATACACCTAACGAAAATTTATTAATTTCGACTAGTTTAAATCTGCACGCGTCGACTCTTATTCGAAAAACGTTCAGTTTCATTGATATTATAATTTAAGTACATATTTCTTCGCTATAAAATCAAATATTCAATTTTTCTTAAATTCATTTTTAGTGTCGTTTCTTAAAAAAAAATTTTTRTTCGAATTGTGTTGTTTATAATGTGATTCTAATGCTAATTCTAATATCATGATATCGAGTTGGTCATGTGACAATTATAAAGTGAGTGAAATACATTAATATTTATTTAAAATAGAATTTTAAATCTAGTTTTTATAAAATATAAGATAAATTAAATGCGCATATAAAGTATAAAACTTAAAAATATTTTTTCTTTTTTTATGTCACAAATTTTTTTAATGTTATTATTGATGATATTAAGGCACCTCATATAGGCAAAATAAAAGCATTCGTGAATATGAACATCTTTATGACGTAATATTATTCTATCTGCTTTTAAAATAAAAATAATTTACACCGATGTAATCTTGAAATCATAGCTCGATATGCATATAACGAATAATAAATTTCTGCAGATATGATACGCAGTACTTATTTGTATTTTAACGTTGAAATTTGTATGAAGAAAATTTTTAATATTCTTGATTTCAAAAAGAAAATGTCACAAAATATTAATTATGTTAAATCTTAACTAAATATTCAATACCATTACCTATTATTTCTTATCATATCTAAGTGCTATTTATTTAATGATACAGAAATATGCATGATATAAACAAAATTTGATTAAATAGTTATAAATCTATATAGATAACTAACGTCTAGCACTTAAAGAAATGTAATTGTTCTAGTGAAAGAATTTTTTAACACGTATCAAACTATTATTTTATTAAAATAAAAACGAATAAATTTGAACTCAACAAATAAAATAAACTCATAAAATATATGATACTTAAAATATTGATGTCAGCACATTCAAGTTGAAATTTACTACGATATAAAAAAAATTACATAAGGTAATAAAACTATTTAAAAGTTATATAATGATTTCTTGACCTATTAGCATAGTTTTAAATGTAAAAAGTAAAAATGTAAATGTTTACTTAGAATAATAGTATTTACATTTAACACCTAATAATAACATTTTTGCTCGGGGGAATCTGGTTTTTTTTTTGGTAAGCGCATAGATTATTATGCACATTGTATTAGATGCATGAAATATACAATTAATGCTCATATTATTCTTATTGAAATAAAATTTAATTTTTAAAGAATTTTGACAATTTTATAATGACTGTTTCTGTACAATAGAGAGCGATAAAACTGTTAAATTCCAGATAGCAACTAAAAAAAAACTGTTTTGATAAACGTATATCTGCTACTTTTTTAAAAATAATAAAATTATGAGGTGAAGTGATAAATTGATAACCATTAACTAAAATAAATGAGTTATATACTTATATTATAAAAATATTGTTTATCATCATCATAAGAATTCCACGTCATCTAAAAACCAATATATTTTTTTTGCTCATTAATATATTATTGTAATTTACTCTTTGGCGTATCTTCGGTTACATAACAATTTAAAATATCGTGTATTGTAAAGAATAATCATCAATATTTTTTGGATATAATAATGTTCTATCCTTTACAATTATTTTTAGTCCTTGGTGAATATCTTCAAATTGGTTTTTTTTAAATACTTCAATTATACCCAGACAGTCATCATAATATATCGAGGTCAACCGATATACATGATAGTACATCGATTTTATTGTAATTAAATAATTTGATATGAGTACAATGAACACACTTGGATACTGCTATAATTAATTAAGATAGAAGATTTGTTATCTACGTGAATTATAAGTAGCCAGTTGGAATACTGTATTTTCCATAAAAATGGCATTGAGTCATAATATAAGACAACTAAGATAAGTAACTAATGATCTTCTCATTAATAATAGTACCTATCTTATAATAATGTATACAAACTTACAAGAAGAATAATTACTGACTACAGCAATCATAAAAATTGAATATACAATATAATTGTTACACCTAACAGTGCCAATGTATCTAATTTATTATTAATTGATAAATTGTAGTACGTGATGTAGGTATCAGATAAAATGATACAGTTCAAGGGTGGATGCAGATACTTAAATAGAACATTCAACATTAATAAAAACGCATTTTAAGTATTATTAAGATCAAAGTTAAGAATCCAAAAACTTTTCAATATCAAGGATGTACATAAATGCAATATACATAAAAATGTAAAATAATAATTGAAAAAAAATCTTTAATAAAACGTTTATTATTTTATATCTATCAAATGGATCTTACATGCRTATTTAAAATGTTTAGATTTCTTATTTATTTTTATTTTTTAAAATGTATTACTACAATATTATGTGCTTCGATGATATGATGAAAAATTATTAAATCATGACAGCCCTCGATCTTTTAAATGATAGGTATACTTCATATTATGATATTATTTACTATTCCATTTAAAATGTTAAATAGGTACGTATAACATAAGTTATAAATTTATCRAATAACACTAACAAAGAAATAAGTGATAGTGGTTGTAATATTGACCAATAGGTATAGTAAAATACATATTCAATGCATTGAACATGTTTTAATAGTTATAATTATAAATATTATACTCTTCATTCTATTAAATTATAGCAAACTTCATCAGAAYCATTATCACCTTCACCCCATGCTTAGATTATTTGATTGGACAATTTGTTTATATCTTTAAACCAAAAACATAGATATAACCTTTAGCGTAGCAGGCACCATTAAGAGACATTAATGATCTTATAATTGACACATTAAAGTTTAAAAAAGTAAATGTACTTGTGCTGAAATCTCAAAATAATTGTCTCCTACAGACACGTTTAAGATAATAATATATATAAAAGTATATAAGTATTTTATATTGAATAAAGTCATAATAAATATCATTAATTCGATCASACTGAAGGTTAATCAAATCTTGTTTTAGTATTAATAACATACATTTTTTATTAATAATTGTTTTGGGCTATGTTGATGATTGTTCAATAATAATACACTTTGCACGTTTTAGCTGTTCAATAGTATAAAACAATTAAACTGTACGTTTATGTTTCATTAGCGCCATTAGATAAAACCAGAAAAAAAAATGTATATATATTTCACAAGAGACAGGATACGAAGATCGGATGCTGGGAACTCGTTTTGTTTTGTTYACCTCGACAAACTTACATAGAAGTGTTGAGACATTTGATTTAAAACACATAATAATATAATAACTTGTATATAAGTATAATTAATAATGACATTCAAAAATCATTTTTAACTTGTGCTCGGTAAAAATATTTGTTTGTCATTCCAAAATGTATTTAATTTTATTACTCCAATTTTTTATTATTTCCCGAACTCAAGTGAAACATAGGTTTTTTAGAAGTGTTATTTTTTTCCATTTTTTACTGGATTAGATAAAATGTTTTCATATTAGATATAATTTCGGGGACCATAATAAAATATGTTTATTTATTGATATAAAATTTTCACCAATTGGTAGGTAATTAAATTTMAAATAAAGAAATTACAAGAAGCATGGCAATTCATCTGTAGATCTGAAACAAAAACAGAAGGCTAAATTAAAAGATTATCATTATTATTATTAATATAATAGTTTAATGTTATGTAAATATTATTTTTTTTGTGAATAAACCTTGTAACCAGTTTTGTCATTTAAATGCTCAAGTTAAAYTATTTTATGCGAATACATCAAAATAATTTCCTACTAAATTTACATATTGAATGCATTATGACCGGAATTGTTTGTCGTACTTCCTATTTCGTGCAATATATGATATATATTATACAAAAATATGATATGATGACTGCTCAATAATTACGTTGTGACTGTTGTGAGTTGCGACGATGTATGTAAATATAATATCATAATTAAGTACCTGTACGGCCTCAATGTTTTTTTTTTTATGAAAATAAGACATAAGGCACAAGGCGTATCATTCTCGCGTGGTTTTCTTCTAGAGCACATGATAACCCTGTGGTTTATTATATACGAACAATGACGATTTGTTGACACACACATTTCTTGTAAAACCACAATTACATTGCCCTGACGTAGACAGTATTTTGCATAATAATAATTTCTTGATCGTAATCAATAAACAAAAATTGACCTTCTCCCGACGTCTTTAAAATGTAATGTTTAATTATACGAATAAATTTACACTTGATAATCTRCGTTTTCGTTCATTGAACTGTACAATCACGTAAGTAGGTAACTATTTGTTTTTTTTTTCGAATATATAAGCGTCCACTTGGCTTATCTAATATAAAAGACAGTATTGGATGTTCTCCATTAAAATACAAAAATAAATAGTGTTTTTCATTTTAAATAAAAAATATAAGAGTATGAAGGTACTTCTTATTCATAACTTTGACCATATATCGATATTTAATATTTAATACCTATACCACAGTTAACTTTAATAAAATATTTTAGATAATATAAAAATAATAATTTCATTGATTTGCCAATTTTAGAATTTCTAATTTTATATCGCTCGAACATTACATTTTATATTGTGAAGATGTATATTTATTTTTTAAATCGATGACGTAGTTACAATAATATAATTTTAATACCCTTGGAAATCAACAAACGTTTTTATTAACGTCATAACTTATAGTTAAGCTCAATAGCAATACAACTTATTACAAACGTTGTTATAACCGTAGGCGAGTATAGTAAGTTATACTGTTATAATCGCATCACCTAAAAAATATAAATTGTAAAACTCTTTTCGATTTTTGGATACACGCTATGATAACCTTACAATATTTCAATAAATACGCTTTTATTGACTACGCGTAATCGCCGTTAGAACAAAATATCATAATAATAGGTATACTATCTGTTAAAATCATGCACAGGTACCATAAAACACGAACGGTGTGTATCGATATCAAAAAACGATTTTCTTAAGACTGCAATATACATATTTTAGTTGAAACTTTCATATTTTGCGGTGTCTGTTTGTAGATAATGTGATATGGCTAATCTACGGGGTATATTATGTTATATAAATTCATGCGCATTATTCGTTTGCACAAAAAAAGATACACAATAGACTTTGAATTGATATGGCTTAAATATACATTGGACACGACAAACTAGGTCTCCCTCTTCTCTGCAGCCCGCACAACAAAAGATCATCAAA